ATATTTACTGCAGTAGACCATATTTGAGATTTGATGCCTTGGCGTTAGGTTTTACATAGAAAAACTGTAACATTATTTGTATAAATTTACAATGAATGTTTCTGACAAACATTTTTTTCATAGGATAACCGTTGACATCTCTGCGTGTTTTGCTTTATTGGCGTTGTCAAAGAACATAAAAGTTAACTTTTATGTTCTTTTTAGGACCAAATTTTCAAAATGTAGTTGTGCAGTCACTGGAAAGGTCCAGTGATGTTTAGTTATTATTGTTTTTGCGGGGAAACGTCCAAAGATGGTAGCCTCTCATTGGGACACAGCCTAACTGTCCTGCCGGACCATGTCCACACACAAAAAGCCACACAAAAGAGAGAAAATGTTAGTCTTGTCTTTTTTCTCCAACATCTGAGGGAAAAGACCGCGTTTGTAAGTGCACTGGCGAGCGCGTGTTTACCATTGAATTTGGGCTCTTTGCTCGCCTTTATTGATAGAGCGAGCTAGGCGCGAGTAATTACCGAGCGAACTGAAAAACCGCCGGCGCACGTGCTTCGTGCGCGCGCGGTGTTATTATACGGACCGGTGTGCGGTCGCCGTGTGTATTAAAAATCGATCAGACTATTACAGTGACGCTCCATTTTCTCACTCAGACGGTGAGAGGCAAGAAAGGGAGGGGAGAAAAATCTCGGATGCGGCTGGGCATGAGGAGAGAGAAACGGGTGAGATTTGTTCCCCCCCGTAAACGAGGCTTTTGTGCTGGGGTTAAGATTGGACAAGAAGTGGGGTTTTCCTTTTGCTCGGCAGGTGGTGGTGTCTGGAGTGTGGTGAGAAAGGAACAGGCAGGAAAAGGCGGTAACCGAGTGAAGTGATGGAAAACAGGATTCTGTCTGAATAAACGCAGAAAATAGGCATTAAAAAATTGGTTCGACCGCTGTTTTATGTGTGAACGAAGTGATTCCCTAAAATGCATTTGCTGCCCATAAAAGAAATATCATGGAATGGCCGTTTCCAAGCGTTTAATATACTTGCGATCTTTTGTCTCAACTGCATTTGCAATGCAATGTATTGCATTTGCAATAAAGTTCACCTCTGTGTGCTTGATGGCTGATGCAAGGAAGCCTCTATGAAAAAAATTACAACGTATTGCCGATGCATACGTGGGATCATTGTCACATTAAGCATAGCAGGACTTCCGATTACTGGTTATTGTTGTCAACACTCAGTAAGGAGATAAGGGCTGTATCGGAATTACTTGGCTGCGATTTGGAATTGGAACGATTCTCTCCAAAGTGGTTGCTGATACTTCAATCGAATCATGCGTTATTCAGACCGCAGCCAAGTCATTCGGACATGACCTAAATGTATGCATACTTAGAACACACACAAAATGGCTGGCGCAAACTTGACCTCTGGCTAGGCAGCGCCCTCAAGAGGCCGACAACTACATGTAGTTTCGATGCAAAATAACGTCAGTCAATAACCTTACACAGACAGGAACCATGTCACTTTGCACATTGCATTAACATCAAATCGCAAAAGCATATTCATGTAGGCCTACGATATCACTTCCATTCAAACAGTACGAAACGCTTCATGTTACAGTGATTTCCTTCACTAGTGGCCTCCTAATCCCGTGTAAGAGTCATATTACACCTGTAGACAGTCTACCAATTTCCTTTTCAACTGTTTACATTGTTGTAAACCATTACATATTCACCAACCTGCTTTGAATACCACTGAGCAGTATAACATGGTAACTGTACTTCTAGTGATAGTGACAAGTGATAACCGAAATATATACTCGCGTGTCATCTTTGCAGGTTCTCTTTTATCCGATACATTTGAGAAATCAAGTTTTTTCTTGAACTTGTGAGCCGAATTTTTACAACAACATCAACGGGCAAAAAAAGACAGTTCTTATTTGCTTGGACCAAGTATGGAATAAACACATTATGATATTGTGGGTGCAGCGTGCAGGCTGGCCCAGATTCTGAGGGTAGAATTTCCTTCTGCATTGCCAGTCAATACGGGGATTCAGATTTCATTTTTGCCTGGAGAGGCCCAACACGGACCAGCATTACCCGGCCATTACAATGCCATCCGCAATTAACTTATTCAAGTTTATCTTGGCCAGTTCATTAAAGTGTCCCGTTCTCCCGTCTGTTCCCGCGCTATAGGACGGACAGCATCGCCTTCGACCCCTGGCCAAGAAATGTGCAGACCTCATGAATAATGTATGTCCGGCATGTTAGACTGCGCATTATTGATGTTTTGGCGGGACTAGGCCGTGATTCGTGACTACTCGTGCAAACAAGTTCATACGAAAAACAATGCAATCCACGAAGGTATCGTGCGAATATTTGTAATTATGTTTTTCTGCAGTCGACAAAATAAGGGCGTTTCAAAATAGTGCGCCTCTAAGAGTTTGCAATGCGTTGACCAATCACAATGTATGCAATCTGTCGACCCAATGCATGTTTTGAAAGGGTCGACAGATCTTGCACTCCTTGAATTGTCAACGCGTTGCAAACTCTTGGAGGCGCACTACACTCTAAAAACACCCGAGGGTCAGACTGACCCGGAATCTGGGTCCCATGAGGCCTGACCCTTTTCCGGGTCAAATTATGACCTGTTTGGGGTCAAATATGACCCAAAGGGAGTCATATTTTGACCCAAAAAAGTGTCAGGCCCCATGGGCCCAGATTCCGGGTCAGTCTGACCCTCGGGTGTTTTAGAGTGTATTGTGAATTGCCTGTATTGTGTAGTGTTTAGAAATAAAACACGTGAGAAGTGGGTCTCCACGGGATGCAGAAATAGTCTGAGTTCGAAGTAATGTCGCTCTGAGTTCTGATGGAACTTGGAATAAATACGACAAACCGTGCGCGATATGTGTCTCAAAGCCAAACAGCGGATGCAGCGCTCCTCCAGAAATCTGGAAACTAAAGTCCATGACTTTTTCGGGGTTTTCTGACAGGCCGTAAAATGTGGCGATTTCCATTACGTTTATCTCCACTTTGCCTAGATATGTTGTTTGGTATTATAAACTTGATAATTGCCAAGAGCTATAACTATAAACCAACAAGGATTATAGCCTGTATGTGTATCCTTATTCCGTTATCACATCAAAAGTGGGCCGCGGACCATTAAATATAACCCTTGGGTAATCTTGATTTTCACGACATTTCCTTGACTTTTACATATATGACAACACGATTTTCTCACTTTTAATGACTTTCCAAGGCAACGTAAATTCTAGAATCGTACTGTCGGAACCCCGGAACTAACTTTGGTTGAACTCATTTACAGAGGAAAATTACCAAGATGCAATGTGCAAGTTCCGTTGGTCCACCATTAGTGATATTCAACTTGTCTGGGAACTGCCTCAGAGTAAAAATCACGCCGTGCACCAGCATCAAAGTGTAAGACAAAATCTGGATATGTTATAACCACTTACGATTTGCAATGAAAAGTAAGGGGAACTACTTCAGTTTATATGGTGTATGCTGCCTAGTGTAGTTGATATAGAAGCGCTAGATGTTGAAGGGGGGGGGGTGCAGCTAAGATGGCGGTAGTGACATACATTTTTTATGTACGGGAAACCTTGAACAACAATCAAATCAAATTACAAGCGTGTATGCCAGCATTTGGATTTAAAGTGCAAGGAAGGGTCACAGTCAACGGCGATAATACGACAAACCATTTCCCCCGAGTGGAGATATATTTTGTAACTTTAGAACGCCTTTCGACTCCGATAAAAGGCATATTTCATCAATGACTTAACTGAAGCGCGTCGTAGGTCATCACGCACATGTGCCCATGCCCGCTAAAAAATAATGGGTTTAATCGGAATTTGGTGAAGCAGAAAAGGACGCATTTTCTCAACTCCAGCATTTTGAACGAAGCATTTCGATAAAGCAATTATGAGATTAGAGGAAGTTAATCAACCTAATTGCTTGGCTTACAATGCCATTAATTCACGCTGCAGTAAATAATTATCATAATCATTCTTGAAATGTCACGAGATCTGGTGAACCTAAATAATTGCGGAATTTCACTTGTTTTGTGCTTCATCTGAACACGATTTCAACATGGCGGCAGCACATATGTAATCTCTCCATGGTACGAAATGAAAAACAACACAAGCTCCCGTCTCATTGATGAGTTTTGGTGCGAGACCCACGAATGCCGAACCTATTTGGTCTGATCAAGGTAGCGGAACCCGGCCAACACCGTGCACACGTCCGTACGGAAGGGGGGGAAACAAGATAATACCTCGGCGCGCGCTAATGCTGCGCTACGCCCAGGGGAGTAATATAAGATGCTGCCGCGTTACGCGGCTTGGGCGAGAGCGATGTAACGGGACACGGGCTGAACCGCGCGGTCACGTCGCTTGTTCGTCATTTCGCCTCTCTCACACGGCCTCACCCTAGCACTAGGGTCACTCTGGCGTAACGAACTGGATGCCGCGGCAAAATAAGGGGAAAACTCCCCGCTTCGGTGAATCTCTAAAGCAATGCACTTCTACAAGTAGGGGGCTCACCTCATAGATTGTAATAGGAAACTGTAATACTATAAGGCTGGGTGAAATATGATGAATGTGTGCGTTGTGGCAGCCGATGTGATAGCCCCACACCTTTGTCACGATGACCCTTCATTATCATACCAAAAGTCCCGCCCAAAACTTTGTCCAATCCATCTCGCGGAAAATATTTTATGTCGGTGTGACATATTTTGTGTGCGGCAGATGACAATGGAGTATATTTCCCGCCACGATGGGCTGATTTATCGTCTGCATTGAGAAACTTTGTAAATGATCAGTTCCACCGCTCATTTACCCGTTTCCCGGATTTGCAGTTTGGACGCGATTCTACCTAGAAAAAAAAGAGTACTCGCGCTTTTTTGACACATATTCTATTCACTTCTTACGCGAGGGCGATTTGGTTGCGACGAATTCGGGTCGAAACACTGGCACGATTTGGGGAGATGTGGCATGTTTCAAAACTCACCTGGGTAGGTACCGGGCAAGGTCGGAGAGGTTTGTCGGCAGCAGCCTGTCTGCAGCTCGTCTCGGGTCCATCTGCCGCCCAGCTCGCCGCCAACCCAGGATGACATTGTGAATTTTATATGGATGATTTAATACTAACGGCCATGCACTATGCATGAGCTTGCTCGCTCCGCCATTGCTACGGCTCCCCATGCGTATGTATGTGCATGCCTGCCTATGTATTCTGGCCCAGTCGGCTGGGGCTAGTTGACATGCAGCGTGTACACAAAGACTTCCCCTGCAAACTCGCCCGTGGAGCAAGTCAAAATTGAATTGACAGGGAGACGACTTGGTTGGCAAAATTCACCTAATCTATGCACACAGACCACTTTGCATGAAATTCAAATAATGTCCTAAACTCATTTCCGAACACGCTGAGTCGTTAATAAATCGTTTAGTCACACGGAATAATGCATAAATCATTATGACGAATCGCATTATGCTGGGAAAAATAAATTAAATCGCCAGAAGTTGTTTTGGTTTAATAAATATATACGTGCTACTCATACCCATTTAATATTCCCCAGGTGTATTAACCAGATATGAATTTGATTCTAAAAATTAAAAAATGCTGTCCAAGCACTCAATATACATAAATGATGTAGAAAAAATTAACTCATTAACAATTTTCCCTTTTTTCCAGTGTCTATGAACTGCAAAATCCCCAATGCGATGAGATTTGAAACAGTCCAATCACCCAATAGAAGTTTCAACAAAATCACTTATTCAGAGCTTTCGGCACTTATATAATTTACTCCTTTCTCAGATAATGTCATTAATAACTGAAATGGAGATTACCCTGCCTAATTTCATGTTGGTACCTCGTAGGAAGACCAAGAGACTGAATCAGTATTCACGGCACATCGCCCGGGTCTCTTCCCTCCGTCAGAGAGCCTGGCAATCCCTTGCGCGGTGAAGTGGCGGCAAATTTATCTCCGTCAACTTCAGTGCACGAGAACTATACGATGATGGACAGTGCGTCCGGATCATAATAATATGTATACCAGACGATACACTAAAAAAATATCTACAGCGTCGGCCCAACTGGATCGGAATTATTGTTTCAAATGACATGTTTAAGTATTATTTTACGAATCCATGCATGAATATTTCTTTTAATCTTGGGATGTCCTCAATTCTCGAAACTACCCATGTTTGCTAGAATAATTCAGGTTTAATGAGCAATTTTCCACTGCATTCGTGTGTCTTACTTCCTTAATTTCAGTTGGAAATTGCGGAGATAATCGGTATTGACTTTTTTCTTGTATAAAACAATAGTGAAGCCACGTCGAGTTTTTCCATCGGTACCTTAAGTGTTCAAAATCGAACTATGCTCTAATGGGAGGTCGAATTGTTGTTTCTTTGCGATTTTATTCACGGTGTCGAAGGTTTGGTATATTCCTCTCGTGAACCCTACAACCTGCAAATGTTCTACCCCGATTGGAAGATCCCCAGGCATTAATGCCAATACTTAGTGACTACAGATTGTCATCTGCAGTCACTAAATATTGGGAATAATGCAAAATACTCCAATTCAAGCTCATTAGCCTTGAAATCAGGAACAGAATTAAAAGTTATTTTGGTACCGGGAAATCACTGCTCGGTGTGATTTAGGATAATGCCTTTCACTCCATATTTTTTTTAAACATGTGTTGGCGCTGGGTGTGCATGTACATGTGTCGATCGTTAATGCAATGCTTACTGGATTCGTATTCTCATACTATTGACTTGTTCTGCGGATTATATTGACCGTGCTTTAGATATTTCTATGCCTCAACTCTGATGACCTTTAGCTGTAATTGCCTTATCCGTAGATTTGGGTTTTTTTTTTATAAATGTCGTCGTATAATTATTGCTGTCGCACTTTTATGGCGTAAAAGTGAAGTGTGCAATATGTTTGAAAATAGTGTGATAAATGAGACTGAGCCTCGCAAATGTTGTACTACACTGGCCCAAAAAATGGGTCTTATTTAGTAGAGGAGCTCACAAAGATTGTAAATCAAAGCCTATAACACTGCTCATATCCAAGCCCTGTCTTTGCAAACAGTTGAAGGGTATATAGTTTTTTCCTGAAAATAAACGCCTTTCTTGGTCTGTCCCTATATCCCCCCCCAAGAAAAAGGGTTTTTAGTTTCTAGCTTGGAGCTTGTCTAGGAAAACCTTGTGTCAAATCACACTTTTGGAGAAGACTACGAACGTTTATCGGTAACAAACCAATTGTTGCACTTGATCGTTTTGTTTCTAACGAGATCCCATGGTGTGATTTCTTCTGTTTGTCCCAGTGCCTATTCCTGACTAAAGATTGCCAATTCAGCAAATGTTTTTGGAAGAAGTTTTACCAAAAAAGAGAGAAAGGTTCAGGTCTTCAGATGAACAACTATAATATAATGTACGTACAAAATAATCATGAAGAGTATACGCATATTAAGTAAAACTAACCACATACGGTGCCATGTTAATATAACTGTACGGCATACTTGCCAGTGTAAGGAAATGCCAAATATGTAGGCTGCAGTTAACACAATCGATTAATATCGTACTCCATGGTCCATTCTTGCGGTGTCCAACTTAGGCAGATGTACATGGTACCCCTGTTCTTGGGCAGGACACTTCACTGCAATTGCCTCTCTCCACCCCGAGAGTATAAATGGGTACCTTTGATGGTGGGAAACGGGTGGGATTGTCTTTGAACAGCTGCGTATAAAAATGAGCCTGTACGAACTGCCGTTGTTATCAGGAATGTCTTTCATAACAGCAAAGATAAGAGTTTATAGGGGGTAGATACAGGTGCGTGTGTCATAGGCGCTTTATACTGTAGAACTATTTGTCTGTTTCATTATAACCTGTCTATCTCAATTAACAGGCGATGGTGTAACTTGACCTTCCCCACTCTTCTATTTTTCAGCCTGGCAGTTGAAATCAACAAGAGTCGTTTCAATCCACTAGCATTCCACTGGCACTAGCGATTTGCATTCAGCCTGCCAGCAACATGGCAAAGTCTCTGACCAGGTACGTTTTTGTCACATTCTTCACGTGGTTGAATCCTGACACTTGGTGGAAAGAAATCACCTGATAAATATTGGCCTTGGACAACATTCAGAGTATAGTTTCGTAAACCAGAATAAAACCAATACAGCTGCTTTTTGTAAGACTGGTCGATTTCACTTTGGCGATTTCTTAAGTGACCATGACAGTTTGTCACTATCGTATAATGCGTTAATTGTGAAACGAAATAGGACATTGTTGCTGCTTTGAAAGTAATGGGCCTAGTAGTTATAGCCGGCAGGGCGTCCTTGGCAGGTTTATAACTAAAAGATTGCATTTCAAGCATTATGAACTGATTACTGTCATTTTCTTCAAATACGAGTTCCCCCCGAAAGCCTTTCTGGGCCAGAAATCTGCTCCAGTGTTTAATTTGTTTGGCAGAGATCACTAAGTGGCCCCCGCGTATATCGCTAAAATGAACGCCAAACATATCCAACACTTGTAGAGCAAAGACAATATTTGATCGGCGCAAGTTTTATCCCTGCGCCTCGTCTGGTTCGACCGTGGAAAGATTGTCCCAATCAAAGGGAACGGACCACAAATGCAGAAAAACCCCGCCAGCGTGAAAAGAGATACCCGGGCAAATTGGTCGCTTGCTGCTTGTCGGATTTACCCGGGTACACCCCGAGGAAACGAACAAATTAAGACAGGAATTCTGGGCACAGGAGAGAAAGAAAGAAAAAAAAACCCAAATCCACTCCAGGAGACGGGACAGGATGCTTGGTCGGCCGCGCTCCGTTGCCCGCCAGATGAGGACAAGAGACGGGGAGGAGAGGAAGAATTGGACAATTTGACGGTCGCATCTTTGTTTTCTTTCGAGGCCACTCAGAGAGGTTGGCCTACATTAATGTTTCCATCAGCGACGCGCTCAGAGCTCGAGGTGGTGCGATCGGGGTGGCGGTTTCCTCCACCAGCGGGATCGCTTAATACCATCAGCGGGGGAGACGATCTGAAAGACGGCCCCGGGTGTGCTCCCGGTTACGTCTCCTGAATGTCGCTTAGCCGGGCCCCCGATCGTCGAGACTCACCTTGGGTCGAAAATGTCAAGGAAGGGGCTTGGGTTTCAGTTAGCGAGGAGGACGGAGTCTAGTGGAGAGGGGGCCCAGTTGGATGAGTAACTTTGCGGACGGCAAATAAAAATACTCTGCTCAAATTGTGGAAAGTATAATTATCGTAAAGTTTCGAGATATATTGGATACAGGTCTGAAGATTTCCGTGTATGTGGCCGTGTCCGTTGTAAAAACAGTAAAAATAGTCCATGTAAAATGAAACATTAGACTGGTGCATGTAATCAACATGTACATATTATCGCAAACTTATTCTTTTCATTGAAGGAAGTGGTACTGTATAAAGCCTGTGTTTCCGATCGCTACAACCGTGACATTAACGCTTCGTAGCACCGTTCCATTCGTCCAAATACCGCAGCGGACGAAACTGACGTCACGGGTTTTTCAGCGCCTTCCTGCAAGCATGGCACCCGAGTTCCCACCTTGAGCTCAGTGCAAAAATCGTGGCTTGGGGCAATTCATCAGCGCAAACTCTATATCTAGGTCTGTCGGAGTGTACTTTCGACTTTATTTTTAAACACATCTGGAATTTCATTTTACTAAATAAGATGAGCTTAAACACGTATACTCCACGGAGAGGATTTGCCTTTTTGCGGGCGGAGGGACTAAAATGATTTCGTTTTCCACCTTCTGCGATGTTTCCCTTTGATGTTATCCTTCAAGCGACACGTTTTAACGGCAATCGAAGGCACTTTCGTACTTAAGAGCGTGAAACGGGTCCTAATTTACTTGAGCCCGAATTTAATACGGGAGGTTAAGACAGCCCATACCCCGGAGTCAAACGCGGCCGGCGCGAGGGAGCGAATGCCCGGCCATTACGGGCTAGGACCCATCGGCTCTCCTCTTGTCTAAATGTGAGTCTTTGGGTGTTATTAGACAATCCAATTTAGAGCAGAAATTGTGACACGATCCTGAAGTGGTTTTTCTCTCTACATGTTCTGAAGCGAGGCTTGAAGAGTGCAACATTAATGCTATCTCTATCTTTCCTGTTTTCCCCATAGAAAATAATCCTATCTGGTAGAAGAAGCAACACAATTGTATATTTAATAGTTCTGAAAGCAAGGACTACAAGCAGACCTGGTTTTAGTTTGTGTCTAGTTAGCATACCCCTCCTGTTATCAAAAACTACCGAAATAGTGGCGTTTCCATCTTTCCCAAATAGAATACAGTCAGAAATTTTGAGTGGATCCAATTGAGTCCTCCTCCC